GTCGATTTACTAAGTACCGGTTTCGGCATTAAATTGTCACATACTCATTGCGCAACCGGTTTACTACTCTTCCACTGCTTATGATTGCTCTCTACCTCCTCATAAACCTCTGTCCAATCTCGACACACGTGGGTGGCTCCCACCCTGTCATACCGGAAATCGCGACCCTCCCACCCTGCCGGCTCGAGGGTTACGTCTGAGCCGCACAAAGCCATTTGACGAAGATATCCAAGGCAGTGGTTTATGTGTCCATCGCTGACAATATTTGAAGGGTCGAAAGCGAGGTTTAGAATGCGTAGGCAGTGCATCTCGTGAAACATAGTGACGGAGAAAATGCGGTTTTGGGGCCCAAGCCGGACATAGCCTGCAGAGTCGGTGGCGAGAGAAGACCATTCTTTATCTGACACAAATCCTGCGAGGGGGTAATGCTGACTCTCCTCGACGGTCATTAGAACAGAGGCCGGTCGGCCATTTGGAAGAGGAAGTGTGGCGGGATAGTCATGTCCAATGTATGCTGCCTCCCGGTTAACTCAGTCGACATTGCAAAAAGACATCGTAGGAAACTACTCACAGTAAACGGCGCGATCCATGCGGTTTGCGAAATGTTGGTAGATATAGGCGAGGTTAACACAACTCAGGACGAATAGTCCAATGGCGACCATTTTTTGGGAAGATAACATCGTCATGGCGGGCACTGAAACGCCTCGAAGGCGGATAGGTCTTTGCTTTGGCTTTCCATATTTGCGTGATTCCAGTGGCGTCGGGTGGTTCGAGAGAACGGGGTATTTGGAAGCGGTTCAGCATGCGACATCGCCGATAAGCAGGATTTGGGTCACAAGATTGACCTTCTGAGTCATGGTACCTTGAACTTCGATAACATTACAACGGCCACATTGCCGACCATGCGAACTCCCTCAGGCCTTGCGGTCCGAATCGACTTACCAGCGCTGAATATACTCATTACGAAATTCACATGGGTGGAAGAGTACAGGTGCTCAATCGGCACCCTTCCGGGAGTCGTATTGTACTAGGTATACGCCTGCCAACCGCAGCCTTCCGTCAGAGAAATGATATGCAATGAAGTGAATAATGCTTGCCATTGGGAGGCTCCGCCTTCTTCTGCCAAAACTCAATGTGACAATGAGGTGCTTCCGGGACGCAAGCGAATTCAAAGGTCGTGAAAGACATCGACGGGCATAAAAACTCAATGCGACGGAACCCTTTGCCTGAGAGTCCTATCCTGGCGAAGTGTTTCTGGCGGGCAGGCGCACGAGTCCAAAGTATGTGTCGCGACAGTTCTTGGCTGCCATCAAGCAGCCAGATATCCACCTCGCTACCGGGGTGAACATTCACGGCAGGGTCGAACCCGGGGATGGTTGCGTTTGGCTTAGGTATAGTGGGATCGAGGACACAGCGCTCCATTCCGTAATCCATGTTCCGGAACTGAACGACGGTAGACGTCTAAGATAAGCGTCAGATGAGGAGTGTGATATCCATTCCACAAAATACGCACCATTGGGGACACTATGAAGTATCTATCATCAGGATAGATCTCCCCGACATCGCTTTGATACCGGCGAGAAACCTCTCGGAGAGAGCGATGAGGGTCTGCATTCTCGAGCTGGAGGAGAACATGGGCGAAGTTGTGGATAGGAGGGAAGGCGCCCTGAGTATGATTGACGGGTAATTTTTCGAGGTTCATGTAAGTGCTGGGCCGTTTGAGGGATGTTTGAACCGTAGCAGCGCGTGTAGAATCGGAAACACGGCCATTCAAAAATCCAAGTAAGAAGACATAGAAAGATAGGACCGTTGTGAGCAGAGTCGCGATCGACGCGTAGGTTACCAAGCGAGGTGTCGTATCTAGTCTCCATGCTCCTGGTCAGCGTGCTCTTCTGTCAATAACCTTTTGACTTACTGTGGGTCGTTTGTGATTTTGAGGGTATAAAGGCTATTCCTTCGTGCTCTGGAGCTTGCATCATAGGCAAGGCTCCAACGCTTACGAGCGCTTGAGGCCCGACGTATCAAGTGATTTGTAAGTCGATAAGCTGCCGCTCAGTTTCCCATGAGATGGGATAAGGAAAAGCCGCGGCTGAGCAGAAGTTCGGGTCCATTCTGAAGGTGGCTGGTCCGACTTGGGTCGAACCGTCCATCACTGGTTCCGTCATGCCAGTGTGCGCCTCCTGTAGAACTAGAATGAAGCCTCGAAAGCCCTGAACCCCCACAGGGTCACGACACACAGCTGTTTCGAGATGAACTGTCAGATATGTAGGTCGTTCCTTTCGAAGCGTTTGCTTCTTCAAATTTGTCACTGTGTCATGGACTCATCTGGACTCATGGCAGCGGCTGTCCGATGTCGGCGATGTGAGCGCGCTGTGCGCCGAAGTCTAAATCGAAACATGAATAGCAATGGTGACCATGTTATATAACTTCTCGACGTAAACGATACCTGTGGCGTTGTGGGGACAGTGCTTAAATCAGTAGTCCAAATCGTATAATACTACAACTTACTGGCCGCGGGTGAGTGTTTGAACTTCGGAATCGCAAGGCCGATTGATGGCATCAGTGGCATGCACAATCTGCAATTCTCACGCTGAGGTCGGCGCTACATCTCATCCAGCAGCATCTACAGTGCATCTCATGCTCTTTGTCTACCCTGGGCCATCTCCGCAAGGCTTTGTGGCACTCTGGACTTTTCTCGTCGAAAAAGTCACACATGGTCTACCTTCTTGATATCGTCAGTAATATGGTATCATCTCATACATGTCCACCGGCCCGTCCAGAGTCGAGGACCTCTCTCTGTGGTTTCTCGTTCATTCTCGTCATGTTCGTGCACACCAGGACAAGGACTTTTCGATTGTACACGCTTACTAGTGCAGCAGGGTATGACGCCATCGGCTTTTCTTGAACTGCCGCCCACGTACCGGCTTCTGCGACAGGTGCCGTTTTGTTCGAAGTTCTTTCGCTGGATCTGTTTGAGTCCCTTGATCGTGATCCAAACTACGGTTTGGTTTGCTTCCGCGCGCGTCGAGGCTGCTGCGAGCCCTATCTCTGTATCATGGGGCTAATTTATATGTAAGACGGGCAAAGAGCGAGGCTCCTGCCCGCTCAACACCGCTCAACACTCAGCAATGTCCGACGCGCTCACCCCTGAAGTGGCTCCCCCTTCATTTGAGCCTCCGGTCGATACTCCTGAAGTCAAGCTCATTGAACACGCCGACTTTGCTGGAATCACTATCTCGCAGATCCTCTACGGTAGGCGCCTATAAAAATCTCTTATCATCCCCTTCACCTAACATTCGTTCGAAACCCTCACATTGCGTTTTGAAAGGCATTACCATCATCCTCTTCTTCCAATGCATGCGTGGTCTCCTCTTACCCCGAAAAAGCTCTGGAATTCCCAGGAACATCTACATGGGCGTATATACATTTGCGCTCTTTGGCCTCGGGACGGTGTTCATCGCAATGAATGCGAGGAACAACGAGCTGGCGTATATCGACTATCGCGGGTTCCCCGGCGGCCCGGTCATGTTCACGTTTTCGAGGTATAACAAGGCGATCGTTATCGTACCAAACGCGGCGTTCATACTGGCGAATTGGCTTGCGGATGGGCTGCTTGTGAGCTCACTTTTTCTGAACTGTGAGCTGCTGTGAACAGATTATGGGGTGATACTGTAGCTTTTCCGATGCAAAGTCATCTGGGGGGACAACTACTGGACGTTGATACTCCCCATCTTGATGTACATTGGTTCGATCGGTGAGCCTCTTTACATGAATTCGGTCTCCCAAAATACTTACGGATTGATTCAAAGCCATGGGAATCATGACGATATTTCAAAGCTCCCGCCCTAACGCTACTCTCTGGTCCAAAGTCACAGTCGACTTTGGGCTCCCGTACTTCTGCCTCGCGACCTCCTTGAATGTCCTCCTGACGCTTCTCATTTCCTCCCGTCTGTACCTGCACCACCGCATGATGAAGAAGGCGGGATCCGTGGGGAGCAGTGTTATTCCGTACGCTTCAATCACGGGAATGCTCGTTGAGAGTTCGGTCCTCTATGCGGTTTCGTCGCTGCTCTTTATTGGCACGTACGGTGCGAACAACGGCGCTTCGGCGCTGTTCCTCCCGATTTTATCGCAGACGCAGGTGTGTAGATATGACTGTTCTCAATGCCTCCAATGCTGATTGTATCGTCCATGATGCCTTCAAGATAATTGCACCGCTGTTGATCATTTCGCGCGTGGCGCGTCAGCGTGCGTACGGGTCGACTACGAATCGACAATCAGACCCCGTCTGGTCGCGGGGCGCGACAACTGTCACCACCGGTCGTACGCGTACAACTACGGATACGATCCCGCTCGAGACGTCACAAATATTCAGCAGCTTTGAAGGGAACAGAAAGCATAGCGCGGAAAAGGTACATGTAGGCGAACTTCATACGGACCACATTGTTTGAACTTCAGCGTTCCGGGAGCTTGCCTTGAGGTGCTCGAGTAGGGTGCTATGTACATAAATTATTTTCTATTGCGGACGCGGTGGGACATTGTAACAATGTATGTAGTCCCGGGTGGATTATGTAAAATAAATAAAAGTGATGGGAAACTTGACGAATATTGAACAAGTTGAGCTTGAACTTGAGCGTCCACTACAGCTCCACATGTCAGTGGGAGGGTTTCTAGTTTGGAAGGACAGGCGTTCGTCGCACCGTGAATTTTTTTTTTTTTTTTTCAAATTCAGTTCATGTACCGTGCTCCTCAGTAGCGGAGGAAAGACATGGATATCGATGTCCTGTACTAGAGCTCCCGTTCCGAGCCGTGAGCCCGTCATCGTTTTGCTGTGATCCTGTCAAGTCCCCGCATGCTCGTCGCAGCCTCAGGGGAATATGCGCACTGGCTGAAGAGGAGGGGAAAGGGGGTCGCAATATGACTGGCAGACGCGAAGTGCTATAGATAGAATGTGGTGCTATAGATAGAATGCGGGACTCTTTCAAGTTCGCTGAAGTACATCGGGTATGGTGTAACGGCTAACATTGCCGCCTCTCATCGCTGTGGGGACTGGTAGTGCGCGGCAGCTCGGGGTTCGATTCCCCGTACCCGAATAATATCGATCCCAACCTTTCCACGACTACTTTTTCATCGAGTGACATTCGGTTTGGCCCTCTTGCCTCAGTGGACGGACGACCTCACTCACACTGTACAGTGAATGTAAGTTGTAACGTACTCCGACGTTTATTACTTTTACTACGGCGGGAAGAACCCGAGTTCATATAATGTTGAAGAGGACGTCCGATCCGGAGCTTCAGTGCGAAATATGATTGATAGAAAATACAAGTACAACACGCTACTATTGATACAGTTATACAGGCACTGGACAGCTCCGGCGACAGGCTAAGGAACGACAGTGACAGCGACACGGCTATCTACAGCCCCTCGTCGTAAAGCTTTCGGCTGAGCGCAACATAGAACCGCTCCAGATCCTGCTTGCTTGCGAGCTCGTTCATCACGCGCGTCTTGCCCTCTTGGTCCATGCGTTTGCGCATCGTGCTCCGCTCACCCTCACTATCACCCCTACTCCCACTACCCCCACTGTTCGTATCCGGGGTGTTGGTGTCGGCGTTGTTGGTGTTCGCGTTGGCGGTGGACTCCGTAAGCCAGTCAAACACGGCAGAGAGCTTGTCCGTGGAGGCTTTAATGACCGCGTCGTCCTGCGCAAGGAGGGCTTCGCGGGCTGCTTCGCGTGTGCGTGGTGTTGTGGTGGTGGTTGCGGTGGTTGTGGTGCTGGTTGAAGGGGAAGGCGGGGAGGGCGAGTTCTTCCACGCCCCGACGAAACGGCCCCAGTCGGGGAGACCCCACCCGTCTCCTGAGGTGCTCGAGGTGCTGGGCCGATGTCCGGCGGTACTCACCCCAAGACCGATCGCGGGGATCGCGGGTAGGTCGACGCCGAATTCGATGCCGCGTGCGCCGCGCATTTCCCAATCTGCAATAAGTTAGGTAGAGTACGTGAGATGGTGTGAGGGAAGAGGTGGAATGGAACGGAACTCACGGTCGCAGCCCTCCATGATACCAAGGAATTCCCCCCATTTGGCGCTTTGCACGGTTACGAGCCCGTCGTTGCCCCATTCACGCTGTTGGGCCCACAGCGGCACCTCGCTCGGGTCGGGATTAGACTCGGAGTTGTCCACCCCGCCGGTCTGCTGCTCCCACACAGCTCGCAGGCGCCCCCGGTACCGCTCCTCGACGCCGTCCAACACCATCTTGGGCAGCCAGAAGGGGTGCCAGATGCTCACGCCGGCCATGCGCCCCGCGACGCTAAAGTATTTGACGGTGGGGTCGTTCGGGGTGCGTGGGTTAAAGTGGGTGTTGAGGTAGTGAGAGGTGAGGTTGGCGTATGCCGGGGAGTCGACGATGGAGAGGAGGAGGGTGGTGAAGGAGGCGGGGAGGGAGGAGAGGGAGAGGGAGAAGGGGGAGTCGGGTTTGGGTTGTGTCGTAGGCGAAGGGGGAGGGGGAGGGGAAGCACGGGCAAGATGGAGCTCCTGCTGACGAAGTTTACCGATACCGATGTTTTCGGCGCACCAGTCCATGAATGGGCTCCCCCGGTGCGGGGTGCTGATGCTGGTGAGGGAGAGCGGGGCGTAGACTTCGGGCTTGATGTGTGTTATGAGGTGGCGGCAGTCGAGGCCGCCCATGGAGTGGGCGAGAAAGTTGATGCCCCGGCCGTGGGCTTTGTGTTGTAGCTGGGCGTCGAGGATCTCGGCGCGTTGTTGGATGGAGCCGGTGCTGTGGAGAGTGAGTAAGTAGGAATATGTAAGAGAGGAGAACACACCCTGGGACAGAGGTGACTATGACCTCGGCGCCGACTTTGTTGCGCAGGATGTTGAGCACGTTGCTCCAGTAGTGCATGCGCATGCTGGGGAACTTGAGGGGACCGCGGGAGTCGAAGCCGTAGAGACCTTGGGTGTGTGATGAGCACGTGGAGATCTGTATCAGCAAACAGTACGGACCATGGCAGAGGACGATGGGGTAGCGCGGGCTGCGGACGGGTTCGTACAAGGCGGGATTCTGGATGAGCTGATGGATGGTGTCGGGTGGGAGGGGAGGTTCCTTGGGCTCTGGCGGGGGAACTCGGTTCAAGGGCGGGCGGCGATTGTGATGTGGGGGCGGTGGTGGGTCCGGTGGGTGGATGGATGGCTGGACCTGGGTCAAGGTGGAGAGAAGGGCTGGCCAGGACCAGCGGCTGGGTAATGAGCCTGGATCCGCTGCAGACAGTTATTGACGTGGATGAGCTGGGATGCAAGTGAAGCATACCCTGGATATTTGACCTGACGAGTCGTGGCCAGTCCCAGTCGCCGGCAAGAGGCTGTTTGGGATCGTCGCGCGGGGGCAGTAGATAGTGGTTTGAGATGGAGAGAGTGGAGATGACGTTGACGATGCGGCGCAGGACGAGGACGACGTGCGCTGGAAAGTACACGCTGTTCATCGTACAAGTCGAGTGCAATCCGTTGGGGTCGCGTAAAAAGTGACGATGACGCGCACGTGGTGCTTGCATCACTGATCCAAATCAAATTGTTATTGATTTCAATTTTCATCCATCATGCGCCTGCTCACGCTCAGTCTGTGCGTCGGCGCGGTGGTCGCGCTGTGGCCCATTCCACGCAACATCGACACCGGAACCACGCTCCTCAAGCTCGCGCCCTCGTTTGACATCACGCTGGTCGACATCGACACGCCGCCGCAGGACCTGCTCGACGCCATTGCCCGCACCAAATCCTACCTCGCCACCGACAACCTCCAGCGCCTCGTCCCCGACCGTGGCGCCGACGATGCCCCACGTCTGCTCAATGCACCGTCCCTCCCCTCCTTGCAGCTATCCCTATCTGGCCCTGTGCGCCCTATCAAGGACGAGGCCATCCTTCCCCTCGGCACCAGGCAGGAGCGGTACTCACTCACCGTGCCCGCCGATGGCACACACGCTCTCTTGACCGCTCAGTCCACGCTTGGTCTTTTCAGGGGTCTCACGACGTTCTCTCAGCTGTGGTATCAGAGTGAAGCCACCACGTATGCCTGGCAGACCCCCGTCAACATCGTCGACGATGAACCGGCGTTTGTGAGTCCCCGCCCTGCAGTGCTGTTCGGAGACTCACCACATGCCAGTAGCCGTATCGCGGTTTTATGCTCGATACCGCGAGAAACTTGTGAGTCGCTCACGGCTTCAACGTCGGCCAGTCAGTGACGTGCAGCTTAGCTTCCCCGTCCCCGATATCAAGCGCACCCTCGATGCCATGAGCTGGGTCAAGGTCAGTGCCCTCGCTTCAAATGCAGACACCCACCTCACCACTCCCAGCTCAACACCTTCCACTGGCACGTCGTCGACTCCCAATCCTTCCCCCTCCACGTCCCCGCCTTCCCCGACCTCGCATCAAACGGCGCCTACTCCCCCGCCGAGATCTACTCCCCGAGCGATGTCCAGGATATCGTAGACTACGCCGGTGTAGTGCGTACTACATGCTACTCAGTCCATCAACCCCAGCGGCTAACCAAAGTCCCCCTGGCAGCGCGGCATCGACGTACTCCTGGAAATCGACACCCCAGGCCACACAGCAGTACTCGCCACCACCCACCCAGAACACATCGCGTGCCTCGACGCCTCCCCGTGGTCGGACTACGCCAACGAGCCGCCGGCGGGACAGCTCCGTATCGCATCTCCCGATACTACCAACTTTACCGCTACCCTGATAAAGGAGATTGCTGCTATGGTGCCGCGGAACAGCTATTTTAGCACGGGTGGGGATGAGGTCAATGTGAATTGTTATTTGAGGGATGCGGAGACGAGCGAGGAGTTGGCGAAGAGAGGGGTGGGCATTGAGGAGGTCCTTGGGGAGTTTGTGCAGAGCGTGCATGAGGTGCTCAGGGAGGGGGGGAAGACGCCGGTTGTGTGGGAAGGTGAGTGCAGCGGTGTTTTTTTTGGGAATGAGGAACTGATGGAATGTGTAGAGATGGTTCTGGCGCATGCAAATGTGGGGCTGGGAAAGGATACACTCGTCATGTACGTTGTTGAGCCGCTTCGCACACACAAAGGCTGATGTATACCCCGCAGGGTGTGGATATCATCACAGCATGCAGCAGCTGTCGCCGCCAAGGGGTTCAGAATCGTACACGCCCCGTCGGATTATTTTTACCTCGTGAGTCTCGTGCTTTGCGTCGTGATAAATGCTGATGGTAGTCGTAGGATTGTGGCGCGGGCGAGTGGCTCGGGAATAATCACAAGGGGAATAGTTGGTGTGATCCATTCAAGACGTGGCAAAAGGTGCGTCCGAGCCTGCTCCTGGGTCCCCCTGTTCACTCACGGCATCTTTGGATTGCAGGCGTACACGTTCGACCCGTATGCGGGCCTTGGTGAGGCGCAGAGAGAGCTTGTTTTGGGAGGTACGTCGATTTTTCGATTCGGTTTCTCGGGTTGAATGATTATGTATGTAGGTCAGCAGCTCCTCTGGACTGAACAAGCCGACCCAGCGAATTTGGACTCGATAGTCTGGCCTAGGGCTGCTAGCGCTGCCGAGGTGCGTTATGCCCTCTCTCCCTTTCATTCCTTCCTTCCTTCCTTCATCCATTCATACTCATTTACACTATCCATAGGTCTTCTGGACAGGCCATACCCTCCCAGACGGCACACCCCGCGCGCAGGGTGTCGGGAAGGCGCTGCCGCGTCTGCATGATCTGAGGTATAGGATGGTGAGCAGAGGTGTGAAGGCGGTTGCGTTACAGCCGCATTGGTGTGCGCTTAGGCCGGGGAAGTGTGATTTGAGGGGGTAGGGGGGAAAGTAGGGTGGGAGGAGGCACTGGGCTCGATACTTGATTCTGTTGACTCCTGTCGGAGTCCCTTTCGATGCCCCTTAAAAACAGTGATATAGCTCTTCTTATATCAATATGTATGATGTGACGATACATACTCGTCCTTCAGTAACCTCCCAACTAACTAACTCCTAAAACTCCGCTTGAATGTGGCGCGCGGCTCACGGACAGCATGTCCGACTCGTCAACAGTCTGCAGCACTCTGTCCGACAACAGTTCGCAGCGCTAACTTGTCCCAGTGGTCAAAACG